GATGAGCGTTGTTGAATGCTGAATAATGTAAGATCAAAGAGAGAGGATGTTTGGAGTTCTCAAGCCACGGCCGTTGAGGAAACTGGAAATGCATACTCGACGGCACATGTGGCCGACAGAGTCAGAAGACAGATGTTCGCGCAGCGTCGGTCATATCAAAAATGCAAATCAATTATATCGCAGGACTGAATTATTCAATTGTTCTTTTTTTAAACATATCTCCAAAATATACACGCTGTCAGGTGGAATGTAACACACAGTACTCGGAGTTTAGTTGTGAGTGATAATGCTTGTAGTCCACATGGAGTTCTTCTATCCAAATGGCACAAACTGATAGATCTAGGTGTATTAACACATCAAATTGAACAATTTGGCCTATTTAATAAATACAAACGACCTCATTTCTATTTTTTTTTTATTCTCACCACCTCTATTTCTACAAAGTTTCAAAGTGAAGTCTTTGCTCTTTTCCCTTACTCCTCTTTACTTGACTTTAACTGACCTCTCCTTTACCTCTTTGTCTTCTGCTCTCACTTACTCATCCTATGAAATGTGTGTGTAATTAACAAGATCAGGCAGTAATTGAAACCTCTGCACTGCCATGGGAAACCCCTGAGTAATTAAACCATGAGAAAAGCAGAGGTCACAAACACTGGGACTTGGTTTAAGGAAAAAGGACTAATGTGTTGATTGTCACCAAAGGGACACACTGCCAGCCCTGTAGTGTCATTGCCACCTACTGGCTACTTGTTGGAAATGCAGTTTTTATTTATCATCAATCGTGCAGGTGTTGCTCATTTACAGGAGATGCCAGCATGAGTAACCAAGATTATAAAGCACTGACTATCAAAAAGCGGAATAAATGGAGCTTATTCACGTTAGTTTGGCTTACTGAAGAGACTGGAAATAAAACCATAACTGTAACACAACATAACATCCTTCTTCTATTTTTGTTGTGTTTTCGTGCAGCAGCGGCAGGCTCTACCGAAAATGAGGAGCGCGTGTTTCGACAGCGGATGCGTCCCAGGAAGCGTCAAGGTGCCGTCCGTCGGAGAGTCCACCAAGTCAACGGACACAAGTTCATGGCCACCTACCTGAGACAGCCCACGTACTGCTCGCACTGCAGGGACTTTATCTGGTTAGAAGCACATGCACGCTCATGTCTATAGAGTAATTAATATGCGCACAGTCATTACAGATCGGCAGAAAGAAACCTGTAAATAAAGAAAGAAAAATAATCAACAAACTGTAGATGAGAGTGTGTCTGCATTGAAGACAGGACGGGAATGTGGCAGCAGTGCAAAGAGATGAAAGCAATTGCATTTGCGAGTCCTTCTATCAAAGGTTAATGAATCCAGAGTCTCTCACTGAAAATGCCAAGGTTGGTTCAGAGTGAACGTATGAAGTGTTGATCGGTTAATAAAAAAAAAGTTTCTTAACTGACCAGCTCTGTGTAAACATCCGTTTTACAATAGCTGCCTTTCACTGATGTGCGTTCGCTGTTTCACTTCCTTAACCCGATTTTCTCCCAGTAACAACCTGCTCTCTTGTTTACACGTAAGCACAGTGGATGCTGTGAAGTGGGGAGTAACAAACAAAGCCAGCTGTGTTTGTTTCCATCCCAACAAACGTCTGTTAGCTTCACTCACATGGAAACCATGTGGCCTCGGTGCTCCGCTCGCTTTCAGCTGCGCTCTGAAAGAACGTTTGATGTGTAATCAGAATCACAAGGGAGCTGTGCTTCGGTCTCCGAGTGGTCAGGGTCTGTGATGTGGTGAATCAGCAAAAAAACTGCAAGGAGTCTGTTTAATTTTTGTGTAAGCTCACTGTTATATCCTGAAATAATCTCTGAAAAATACGCCCTTTCAATGGGTTTGAGAACAGTGCCACTTTTCGCTTTTTGGCCGTGTATAAATGTGTCGGAAACCAGCATAGACTGCATCATTTTGCAGAGGCTGAAGAATCCACTGAATCTTGCCGAAGAATAATGCTAGACTCCCATCATCCTCCTGGTAGAGTTTTAGGAGGAGGAAAACTTTCAACCTCTACCTTCCCTTATGTGTGCAAAAAAAAAAAAGCCAAAGGAGAAAGAGAAGATGCTGCAGAATTTGCATGATGGTAAACACAAAAAGGCTTTTTCCACAAACTGGCTTACAGCTGCGCTTCTTTCTCGTTTATTAAGTGAAACACATTTGCTTTAAAATGGAAGTAAGGACACATGGTTTTAGAAAAACAACCACAACAACTGGTTAATGACGTAACTGAGAAAGAACTCCCTTTTAACAGGGAGACACTTCCAGTCAAACCAGCCTCAGGTTTAAGC